GGGGGGGGGGGGTGTCGGAGGACTATGTTACAGGAAAGCACAGACCTCATGGTGCTCCTTAGGACTTAGGACCAGCTCTTGGGTCCTCACACAGGCCTCCATCTGGCTGTACTTTGTTTTACATGTTTGCAGCATCCAGGATATTGCAGTCCTCTTCAACACCATCATCATTTTCCTCATGTTCTTCAACACCTTCGTCTTCCAGGCCGGCCTGGTCAACCTCCTCTTCCACAAGTTCAAAGGGACCATCATCCTGACAGCTGTGTACTTCGCCCTCAGCATCTCCCTTCATGTCTGGGTCATGGTAAGAGTGGAGCTGTGAATTTCTGAATCTTTAACGGGTGAGGAATATCTTTTCTCTGGGAACCCAGCATCATTCTTATACATTGCACAGAATCCTTGATAAAAGGTGAAATGAACAGCCTTATCCAAGAGTCAAGGGACACTTCTGGAACATTCAGGTCACCTTCGCCCCCAACAGTTCTGCCGAGGCTAAAACAGGAAGTTGAACCTGTTGCATCAGTAGCTGCTTGGGTGGGTGTTGATACAGGGTATTTATAGGCCTCGGTGTCCGCAGGGAAATAGACAAGCAAGAGTGCTGCTTGCCCTTTTGTGCTTCATGCCCTCTGCTACCACCCATCACACTAGGAGAACCAACCTCCAAGATGCCTCTTTGATGCTGAGATAGGCCTCAGAGCAGATCCAGTTTTCATGGGTTCATATATCTTCTGCTTTCACAAATTCTTCCATCTTTGGGTATCTCATATGTTTCTCAAGTACTCATTTTGATGGAGCAAATTAAAACCTCAGGGTTGTCTAGTCATTTCTGTACTAAAGCTACCTTCTCAGACTGTGCCTTCCATTCGGTTGCCCTTGTGATTTCATGGAGAGAAGGAGAGCTCTCAGGATAGGAGCAGAGCATTGCCAAAGTCTCCAAGTGCTTCCTAAAGAAGACTGACCCTGCTGTGGTTCCTGGAGCCAAATTAGGTCCTGGCTTTGTACTATAAAGCAAGTAATCTGATTAATCCCTCAGTGCACTGAGCCTTTACCTGACAGGAGCTGAACCTGAGATTTTCAAGGCAAGATAGTGACCCAGAGGAACTGAGATAATGTGTATCGTTTCTCCTTGGCCAGGGCTATGGAGAAAAAGGTAATAAATATGTTAGTTCAAACTTCCTCCCTCAGGGTTAAAAGGATATTTGCTTTACAGCAAAAAAGGGAGCTTGAGGGACCTTTAAGAAACACAACTTGGGGCTGTGGAAAGAAAGGTGAGATTAGCCTGATTTTAAAACAAGTGGCATCTCTGTAGCTAACCTAGCTGGAGATGTTGGGGCCTCACCTGCCCATTAACCTTTCCTGTCTACCATGTCTCCTTCAGAACTTACGCTGGAAAGACTCCAACCGCTTTGTGTGGACTGATGGACTTCAAACGCTGTTTGTATTCCAGAGGCTAGGTAAGGACCAGAGCCACCTCAGTCCTCACTGTGGTCCCACCTATGGCTCTGGCTTGCCAGCCCACCACAGCTGGCATAGGACGGGGGAAACAGTCACACCAAGAACAGGGGAGAGTACACACTCTGCCTTGCTGGGAGTCACTGGGAAATCTTGAGGCAGGGCCCCTCAGCCTCCTTAGGTTTTGTTCTTAGCTGAAACAATACTTAGGAGCATCCCTGAGGCTGCTTTTCTGTGTATCATCCACAGCGGCAGTGTTATACTGTTACTTCTACAAAAGGACAGCTGTGAGCTTGGGCGATCCTCGTTTCTACCAGGACTCCGTGTGGCTGCGCAAGGAGTTCACACAAGGCCGAAGGTGACTTGTCATACTGTTGGATGCCTTTCCTTCCTGACGGGAGCCATGTTTGCAGCTCTGCAGGGGGGAAGTTCGCCCTTTGCACCAGGAAGCAGCTTGGCTTTCCCAGGACAGGCCCAGGCCAGTTGTGTTCAGCAGCCAAGAAGCAAGATCCTCCCTTTTGCAAATTAAAGTGTTCTCCAATACAGACTCTAGAACATACATCATCTGTTCCTGGCCTCCTGTCTCAGTTCTGCCCTCTTCCACCTCTTCCTCCCAGGAAAAGGAGCTTCCCACCTAGCCTGGCGCAGGAGCTCCCAGCATCTGTACTCTTTGCACCACATACTAAGAACCAAATGATACAAAGAGGGATGTTTCTGTACTCCTGATAACACCTTGGATGTTTAGATTTTATACCGAAGGCACTTTTTTTTTTGACATTTTATAAATAGGAAATAAATTGAATTTTTTTCCATAAATGGTTGAGTCCATCTGTCTAGATCTCTTCGTAGTTAAAAGGCATGCCAAGTCCTAGCCTTGACCCAGTGGGCAGATTGAGCCACAGAGCAAATACAGATAATACAATTTATTGAGTCCCATTATGCATACAAGATATTTCTGCAGAAATTCAAGGTGTAATCTGACGTCCCATCCCTACCCCTGGAGATCCAGACTTCTGTGCTTTATTCAGACTGTCACACTGTCAGAGCCCTAAACTGCCCTCAGAAGAATAATGTTCCTTAACCTGTTTCAGCAAAAGAAACTTTAAATTCATGTGCCCATAGTATCAGTTTTCTATTGCCAGAACAATGTGTGACAAACCACCACCAGACTTCTGTGGCATATAACAATAAGCAGTTATGTGGCTCTTGAATCTTGGGGTTCAGGTGACCTGGCTGGGTTTGGGCAATTTCTGCAGGGTTTGCTCATGTGTCTGTGGTCAGCTGTGGGTCAGCCAGGCAGCTGTGATGATCTTGGGACCCTTGGCTCTTGGCTAACCTAGGCTGGCCTCAGCCAGAATGACTGGCTGTTCAACTCAGGTTCACATGACCCGTCCATGACTAGCCTGGGTCTGTTCACATGACGGTGGTGGAGGAACAGGACAGCCAGCCCCAGTGTGCAATTCCATGTCAAGCCTCTGCTTGTATTGTGTCTCTTAATCTCCTACTGGTCGAAGCAGACCATGTGACTGTACCCAGAGTCAGAGTGGGAAAGCAAAGCACTAAAGAGTTTCCTGGCAGAAGGAATGGATACAGGAAGGGCCATTCATTGTCAGTCTACCTCACGAGAAAGTTGCTCTATGAAAGTCGTTATTCGTAGACACTTTAGCACAAGGGATGGCAGACATTTTCTGTGAAGGGCCAGATAGTAAATATTTCAGATTTTGAGGACCATATGCTCTGTTGTAACTACTCAGCATCATAGCATGAAAGCCGCCATAGATGATACATGAACAAATGAACACAGCTGTGTTCCAATAAAACTATTTTAGGACACTAAAATTTGAATTTCATATTTTTATGTGTCATAAAATAATTTTTTTTTCAATGATGCAAAAAGGTCATTCTATTCTTAGCTTGAGGGTACAAAACAAGCGAATTCCAGTTCAGGTACAAAAACAGGCTAGATTTGCCCCAGGCCATAGTATGCTGACCCCCAGTTTAGAAGCCTAGAGTAAAGTTCTGGGAAAAGAGACTATAGGTAACAATCTGCTGTGCTGTCAAGATTTTAACAGATATTTTAAAAGAAAAGGTACAGTGTCGAAATAAAATAAGATCCATTTCCTATAATCGAAACAAGCAATCTAAAAAGTCCTAACAAAGCCACCATCTATACCTACTATCCCTCCATCTGTAAAAAAAAAAAAAAAAGACAATCGCCCAATCTTTTCATAAAAGCTCTTGCAGGAGTAGTATAATCCCCTTTGCACATTAATATCCTGAAAGGCAATTCTCTTTGCCTGCAAATCAGGGCTAGATTGTTCTCTGCTGTTTAGAAGCTATCAAGTACAACCAAATGCCTGTTTCCTTACGTTTATGGCACTTTGTCGCCCTATGAGTCACTGAGGTGTGCGTGTGTGTTTATTTTCCTTAATAGTTAATACATCCACACTGTACCAAATTCCAGTTGTAAAAAGATTTATGCAGTTAATTTTCCCACTGCTATATCTCAGCCACTGAGTTTCTTTTCCCTCCCCTCAACAATCTACATTTATTTATATACATCTTATAGACTATGTAATATTTCAGAAACATTTTTACCAAAAATTGCCATAATCCTACCCCACTCATTTATTTCAAATCCTCAAATACAGTCAGTTCTCTGTATTCATGGGTTCTGCATCCATGGGGGAAATCTGATACATTGCTGCCCATGGGCACTATGTAGTGAGGCCCACCACGGCTGTCTGTACCTAACATGTGAACTTTTTTTGTTGTCAGTATCCCCTAAACAATACAGTATAACAACTATTTACAGAGCACTTACATTGTATTAGGTATTGTAAGTAATCTAGAAATGATATAAAGTATACCAGAGCATGTAGCCCGGCCGGGCGTGGCTCAGTGGTTGAGCATCGACCTCGGATCCAGGCGATCGGGGTTCGATTCCCGGTCAGGGCACATGCCAGGGTTGCGGGCTGCATCTGATCAATGACTCTCTCATCATTGATGTTTCTATCTCTCTCTCCCCCTCTCCTTTCCCCTCTCTGAAATCAACAAAGATATATTTAAAAAAAAAAAAAAAGTATACCAGAGCATGTGTGTAGGTTATTAACGTGCAAATACTATGCCATTTTATGTAAGGGACTTGAGCATCCTTGGAATTTGGTATCTGCGGGGGGTCCTGGAACCAATTCTCAGCAGATACTGAGGGACAACTGTAAGTATATATATTTTACACACTGTTGTGATCATGGGGAATATGCTATAGAATAGTTTGGGTTTTTTTTCACTAGCAGTAGGAATATGTTTTTAAGATAAGATGTAAATTGATTCCTTGGGGACAGTCAGCTTTCAAAGTTCAGAGAAAGAAAGTAAACACTTCAAAAGTGCTTAGAGACTTGTAGTGGGATGGAGTTGCTTCTGGTTGATCAGTGCTCTAGTCAGGAAGTAGAAAAAGCAGATTTTTAAAAGGCCTCAGAGAACTGCTGGAGGCCTAAAATTCTAAAGTAGGGAGAAGCACAGCAAGGTGAGCTGATGATTCGCAGATCTTACTCTGCGGCATTTGCTGATTCTGGGCTTGAGCAAGAGGCACACATCACCGGACAGAGGCTGCAGCCAGGAAACAGGGAAGTCAGCTGAGCTTAATAGGCTCATACTGCTGGAGGGACACAGTTGGGAACCGGAGGAGCCTGAAACACATAACGCGGTTTCTCCTCAAGATGTTTACCAAATTCTGAAGCTATTTAGAGACAGAGGCTATAAAAAGCTAAGCCCTAAACCTCTGAAAAGCAGAACAAAATTTTGGCAGGCTTATCGTGCTGATGACTAGAATTCAGGACCTGCCGGGGTGGGGACAGGGCTTTCAGCTGAAAGCTCAGGTCTCCTTATTGGGAATAGGTTGACCGAGACTTACCAAAATCACAGTACAGCCTCACACCATCTAGTCCCAGGGTGGATTAAGGCAATCAGCCCCATTCTCTCTACCTAGCACAGGAAAGAGTGAAAGAAAAACATCCAGACACACTATGATTTTTTATATACAATCTGGATCTAATAAAAATCACTATGAAGTCAAGAGATAGGACTATATTATTATTATTATTTTTTAAAATATATCTTTATTGATTTCAGAGAGAGGAAAGGAGAGGGAGAGAGAGAGAGAAACACCAATGATGAGTCATTGATTGGGCCTGCAACCCGGGCATGTGCCCTGACCGGGAATCGAACCCTGATCGCCTGGATCCTAGGTCGATGCTCAACAGCTGAGCCAAGCCCGGCCGGGCAGGACTATATTATTTAAAACCAGAATAAAAGTAGAAAAAAGAAACAGGCAATCCAAATATTGAAGAAGGCAGACAAGGAGTTTAAAGTATAATTGATATGCTCAGGAAATAGAGGGAAATATGGAGGAAATAGATAAAATATTTAAAGTACATCTAAGGACTTCTAATAATGGCTGAGTAAGATCCTACAGGAATGAGACCTCTACAAATAACTGTAAAATCTGGACATAAAACAAAAACAAACAGCTACTTGAAGACACTGGAGAATGAAGGGAAGCAAAAGTTTGACCAGCCACTTGTCAGAAAGATGGGAATCTCAGAAAGAGCCAGAGAGAAGGGGAACCCCCAAATTCTGTCTGCCCACATCTCTGCCCAAGCCCAGGACGACAAATGTGCAATTAAGACTCAAGGCAGTTCAGCTAAAGACAAGATCTAAACTGAGACTGGAGCTGCCACCCAATAAGTGTGGTTTGCAGTATGTATCCAACTAATTGCCTGATAAAAGAACTATCACTCTTTAGAGACAAAGGAAACCAGAGTCGCCACATTCAAAACTGACAGCAAGCCCAGCCAGGCGTGGCTCAGCAGTTGAGGGTCGACCTAGGATCCAGGTGATCGGGGTTCAGGTGATCGGGGTTCAATTCCCAGTCAGGGCACATGCCCAGGTTGCGGGCTCGGTCCCCAGTCAGGGGCTTGCAGGACGCAGCCAATCAATGACTCTCTCATCATTGATGTTTCTACCTCTCTCTCTTCCTTTCCTTTCCTGTCTCTGAAATCAATAAAGATATATTTTTAAAAAAACACAAAAAAACTGACAGCAATATTGAGATGATCCAGGTATCAGAATTAACAGACAGGACTTTCAAGCAGCACTGAAAATATGTTCTCAGTAAAAAAGATATGCGATCTCAGCATATAAAGAAAGGATTTTTGAAAAACAGAAATCCCAGAAATAAAAATGATAGTAACTGAACATTTATTTATTTATTTTTAAATAAGCTTTTATTGATTTTAGGGAGAGAGAAACATTGATTGGGAGTGAACCTGTGACCTTTCTGTGCATGGGACCATGCTCAACCAACTGAGCCACACTGACTACTGAACATTTTTAAATAGATGGATTTAACAGCAAAAGAGAAGATAACAGAATTGAGTCAATGAATTAGAAGACAGACCAACAGAAAATTCCCAAGCTGAAGAATAGGAGGAAAAAGATTTTTTTTTTAAAGTCTCATGACTAGTTCGATAGTAACAGTCTAACATATGTAATTGGAGTCCTAGAAGGCAAAGAGAAGGAATACAGCAGAAAAAAATATTTTAAAATATTCAAAGAGCCCTAGCAGATTCGGCTCAGTGGTTAGAGTGTCGGCCCACAGACTAAAGGGTCCCNGCAAAGAGAAGGAATACAGCAGAAAAAAATATTTTAAAATATTCAAAGAGCCCTAGCAGATTCGGCTCAGTGGTTAGAGTGTCGGCCCACAGACTAAAGGGTCCCGGGTTCGATTTCAGCCAAGGGCATGTACCTCAGTTTCAGGCTCAATCCCATCCAGGGCCACATGCAGGAGGCAACCAATCAATGTGCTCTCTCACATCGATGTTTCTCTCTCTTCCTTCCACTCTCTCTGAAGATCAATGGAAAAAATATCCTCAGATGGGGATTAAAAAAAAAATTAATAAATAAAAGATTCAAACAAATAGCAAAAATTTCCCAAATTTGATGAAAGAAGAAAATTTACAGATTTAAGATACTCCACAAACCCACCTTGATTACAAAAAAAAGAAAGAAAGAAAAGAAAGGCCACATCTAGGAACATCACAGTCAAATTATTATTTTTTTAAATTTTTATTTATTTTTAAAATCCTCACCAGAGGATATTTTTTCCATAGCTTTTTAGAGCGAGTGGAAGGAAGGGAGAGAGAAAGAAACTCGATGTGAGAGACATCAATTGGTTGCCTCTGCAACCAAGGTACATCACCTTAGCTGGAATTGAAACTGGGACCCTTCAGTCCAAGGGCCAATGCTCTAACCACAGGGCAAATTGGCTAGGGCCACAGTCAAATTATTGAAAGCTAAAGATGAAGAGCAAATCTTGAAAGGAGCAAGAGAAAAACAACACACCACATACAGAGAAACAAAAATTAACAGCTGACTACTCACTACAAATCAGAGGCCAGAAGAGAGTGTAACATCTCTGAAGTGCTGAAAGAAAAAGGTCAACTCAGAATTTTATATTCACCAAAAAAATATGCTTCAAGGATAAAATTGAGATAAAGATATTTTCAGGTGAAAGAAAACTAAGAATTAGCTACCAACAATCCCACACGATAAGAAATGCTAAATGAGTTATTTGGCTGAAAGGGAAATGATAACAGATGGAAATTCAGATCCTCAGAAATGAATGGAGCACATTAGAAATAGTATTTGGGTTAATATAAAGACTATTTTTCATTTTTCCTATTTCTTTATAATACATATGAATGTAGAATGTAAATTTTTTCAAGTTCACAGACTATTGACCAATATATACCATATGCTGGGTCATAAAACAATTTTCAATACATTTAAAATAATTTAAATAAAATAAAAGTATGTTCTTTGACAATGGAACCGAGTTAGAAATCAGTAACAATAAGATAAACTAGGTGGTTCAGTCTAGGTCCATCCAGGAGACAGAAACCACACAGTAATTTAAACATGGCAAGTTTGATATAAAGAATCATTGCCCTGGCCGGGTGGCTCAGTTGGTTGGAGCATTATCCCATATATCAAAAGGGTTGCAGGTTCGAACCCCAGTTGAAGTGTGTACAGGGGGCAACTGATCCATTGGCCACTGATCCATTGTTTCTCACATCGATGTTGATGTTTCTCTCTCTCTTCCTTTCTCTAAAATCAATAAAAACATATCCTCAGTTGAGGATTAAAAAAATTAGAAAAAGAATCACTAAAATAAGAGAGGAAATATAAAATGTAAAGACAATTCTAAAATGGTACTTGAGGGCTAAGAGAGAGTACCTGAGGAAGGGCAAACTTGGCAGAGTTCCCCACCCTGAAGGCTGGGGTTCAGACCTCACTGCAGCCAACTTGTTGCAGCTAACAAGTTCACCAGTTTTCCCAGGCCAGACAGTTGCCAGGATGCAGACAAATTGAGACCGGTGGTCAGGTGTGCAGGGAGTGTAGGAACACCACCTGCAGGCACCAGGTCCAAACACACACTGTCCTCATTGGGAGGATCCCAGTAAACAACCCTCCTCGGCACAGGTGAGCCAAGGCTGGTGGGCAGGCGCACCAAAAGAGCTGGGGCCCTGTGTGCACCGGGACTAGAGTGTGTGACGTCCACACAGGGCATGGAGGGTCATGGGAATCGACCCTCTGGGAAGAGCCAACTTGATGAGCCTGAGGGAGGGAGCCAGGACACTGCTGTGAGTACAGGTGTGTCCATGCCTAGAGGGTTATGTGAAAAATTGTTCAGTGCATAAGTAAACAAGGCTGAGGGGGCAGGTGTACAGTTAGGGAGCTGCGTCGCTGCGGGTGCAAGGCCGGGAGTGTGCAGTATCCTTCATAGGAGGGCCCACAGCACAGTGGTCACCGGGCCTCGGCCAGTCTGCCAGGCTGCCAGAGGAGTGCCTGCTCTTGGTGTGCAGCTGGAGCAGAGCACCACCTAATGTCGCCAATGTCCCCATGCTCGTGCACTGCTGATAGATCATGGTGCAGGAGCAAGGAAAAGCAAACTAGAACTCACAAGAGCTGGGAAGACGAGCCCTTTCCTTCCTTCAATGTCCCTCCAGTGCCCTCTACTGACAGTTTGCCCCTGTGCTCACTGTAAGGGAGAAATGCTGAGTCCAGCCCGTTATCACAGAACAGATCCTTATCACAGAACAGATCCGACTGAAGGGTCAGTGTGGGGATAAGAGGCAAAAAATAGGTAACAGAGTCCACCTTTTTACCTACTCAACTTCCACACGCACCGCTCTGCACATATCTGAGCTTCCCTCGTAGTTCCATTCCTACTAAGATACACCCGTCCTTAAACGTGACATTCTCACCCTTACCCCAAAGGAGAAGGCATACAAACGACTCTCTGCAGGTCCAGGGGATTGCTTCTGCTCCTTCCCCTCGCCAAGGAACAATGACTGCCCCACCGCCACTCCAGCCAGCTGGGGGGCTCGGCGCGGTCCTTAGGGTCCGTCACTCCCCTCAAATTACCTGGTCTGAGGGCGCCATCGGTTTCCGGGCCTACCCTGACTGACGGGGCTGGCAGCCGAGTCAGCCGGAGTCCACCCAAAACTCCTTTTCCTTCTACTCCCCCGCGGGCAGTGACCGTATTCAGGCCTCAGACCCCAGCTTACAGACCATCTCTGGGAAACGCCTTTCAGTTCCCGCAGCGCGCGCGCGACGGGTCCCGGGTCACGTGTTAACCGCGCTTCGTCTGCACGTCGTCTTCACGTGCTTGAGAGGAGCCGCCAGTTCCGGTTCATTTGGGTGCCTTCTGATTACCTGGTACATAAACTCGACGCACAAAAGAGCCTAAACCCCCTGCAAGACTGCCTGCTGGCCGCATGACCCCTCACCGCACCCCGCATTCGCAGAGTCCGGTCGTGCACACCGTTCCTCATTGTCAGACCCTTGTCAGAAAAGAGAATCGCGGGTGGGGGCAGCTAGGGCCTATGTGCCAACCCTGTGGTCACACCGCCACAACTGGCCACTTCTGCCAACGCACTGTAACCTGGGGGGAGGGAGCCGGGGGCTGCCCCTGTCCCGGAGTCCAGCGGACGACTCCGTGGACGACCATGGTTCTCCCCCAGCGTCGGTGAACCGAAATCCCCAGCGAAGGCCGTTTGCGGGCGGCGAGGCTCCCCGCACGCGCTCGGACTGCGCGAGACCTCCAGGTACCGTTAACCATAGAGAAGAGCGCCGCGGGCTGGCAGAGGGGCCAGGAGCCAGGGCCGCTCAGTCCCCGCTTCCGGCAGCGCCTCGCTGCTCCGGGAGCGGCTGCCGCCCGGGACGCAGTTTCCATGGGGACTGATGATGGCGCCGCGAGGTGAGATCCCGGAGGTGTGTGAGTCGCTTCCTGATCCCTTCAGTCCCCCTTCTCCCTTCTCTCCCGGAGCGCGACCTAAACCCTCCACTCTCGGGTGTTAGGGACATCGCTCCTCACTTGTACAAAGGGGGGTTTCGCAGCTCCACCCGCCCTGAGTGTCTGAAGGTCTGGAGGTGAGGATCTGTCAGATGCCCCTAAATCCTTGGCTGCGCCTCTTCTAGGCCGGCCCAGTGACGAACTAGCCTGCTGTGTGACCTCAGAGAAGCCAGTGCTGGTCTCTGCGCCCCAGTCTCCCCTTCCCAGGCAGTGATGGGGTTAGATCTTAGAGGGGTCTTGATTTTCATCCCTGAAGCCCAAAGAGTGGAGTTTGACGGTGATTCCGGGGAAAGGATGGGATTGAATGAAGCCCCCTCCACATCCTGTACTCACACACACACCCTCATTATCAGCAACCAGAAGCGTCCCAAGTGGCCTTCCCACTGGCTGCGACCTCCTGTTTTCTCCGACTTAGACACAGATCATTCAGAGATTGGGCTGCCCTCCCGCCCATCCCTCTTCTTTGTGCCTTTTCAGGTAAACGGCTGTCCTCCACCCCTCTGGAAATCCTGTTCTTTTTGAATGGGTGGTATTATGCTACCTATTTCCTGCTGGAACTCTTCATATTTCTGTATAAAGGTAAGGCAAGGGGCTTGACTACTCTTGGCCCCAAATCCCTTCCCCGCTTCAGCCCACTTCTTTTCTGCAGCTCCTCTTCACTGCAAGGCAGTGGATGGCTTCCTTGAGAACGATTCAGTAGGAAGCCTCCCAGCCAGAATTTCTTGAGTTCGGGGCCCTGGCTGGGTAGTCAGTTGGTTAGAGCATCATCCCCATACGCCAAGGTTGCAAGTTCGACCCTATCAGGGCACATACAAGAATTAACCAATGAATGCATAAGTAAACGGAGCAACAAACGTCTCCTCTCTCTCTCTCCCCCCTCCCTCTCTCTCTCAAATCAATCAATAAAAAGAAAAAAGAATTCCTTGTTTGGGACATGTGGGCCTCTCCATTCTGAACCCCCTCCCCCCATTTTGTGAACTCCACTTTAAATTTAAGCCCATTGGTGACCCTCAGAACTATTCAGCAGCCTGTGTACCCATGTACCTCTCATGATGTTGGAGAGTGGAGTCCTATAGACTTTTGGAGTTGGGAGTAAAACCCCATAACAATGAGCCTTGCCCTAACAGACAGTTGCACTGTGAGTTAACCTGTCCTGCAGCAGGGTAACAGATCCTGCCCACATCTCACTAACCAGTTCATGGAAAACTGATAAAACTCTCATCCTCTTTATTACCAAGTATGTGGGAGTTCTTGTGGGTGCTGTCACATTTGTTTGCAAACTCTGACTTTCGTATTGGCAGGTCTCCTGCTACCATATCCAACAGCCAATCTAGTACTCGATGTGGTGATGCTCCTCCTTTACCTTGGAATTGAAGTGATTCGACTGTTTTTTGGTGAGTGTTATCCAGAAAACATTTCCATTCCTTATGAGATGAGCTGGTATCTGTAACCTGATTAACAAGAAAAAGTACATAACCTAGGCTCACAATAGGAGATTGGATCTGGTACCATATCCCATTACTCCCTTTCTGAAGTTTCAAACTGCTTTATATTTTGGGTCAAGACTCACCTGTCCATTACTCTGTAGGGCTAGACATGGGGAGTAGCACAAGGTATTAGATCATTCCTTCCCAGTTGCCTAACTACCATAAAAGTGCCAGGTTCCTCTCACTAGTTGCCTGGGAGACTAGATTCAGCTGTAACTCCATGTCCAGGACAAAATGTACCTGCACAGATCAGCACTAAGTTCCCCTCCACATCTCTGAATAAGACTTTCTTTAGGATAAGCTTTATATCCTCAGAAATACAGAGCAAATCTCTTACAAGTTAAGAGTATCTCATCTCTGAGAACAGTGTTAAAACAAACAGAAAAAAATGTTCACAATACATATAACAAAGGATAAATATGCAGGCTCACATAATCACTAAGGAAAAGACACCTAATTTTTAAAAAATGATTTTAGAGAGAGGAAGGGAGAGAAAGAGAAACATTGATGTGAGAAACATCCATTGGTTGCCACCGGCATGCGCCCTGACCGGGATCAAACCTGCAACTGGGGTATGTGTCCTGACTGGCATCGAACCTGCCACCTTTCAGTGCACAGGATGATGCTCCAGCCAACTGAGCCACACTGGCCAGGGCAAAGACAACCTAATTTTTTTTAAATTAGGAAATGACATTAATAGGTAATTCACAGTAATAATTACGAAGAATCAATAAACATGGCAAAATGCCCAAACTCACTAATAAAAAGTAAGTTGAAACAAAAGAACATTTTCACCCATCAGATTAAAAAGATTCTCAATACCCAGTGTGAGAATAGGCATGAGGCCTAGGCCTCTATAGTCCATACTCTCGTGGTTATTTATATTAATCAGACTCTGGGAATATAAATTAGTACATCCTTTTTGCTAACAGTTTTACTGTGTAAAATCTGTATTCTTAGACCTACCAATTTCACTTCTAGAACTGGTTGAAAAAAACACTTCCACAGATATGCAGAGATATCTATGTGAGAATGTTTGTTGTCACATACTTGTAACATCAAAAGTAGAGACAACCTAAATAGCTATTAATACGGGGTTAATTAAATAAGTTACAGAATTAGTTCAATGAAATCATTCATAACCATTAAGAAAGAATAAGGTAGCTATGTGTAGAGGGATGTCTGATTTATATTAAATGGAAAAAAGTAAGTTGCAAAATAATATTAGAGGATGATCCGATATTTATAATAATAAATAGCAATATGTGAGGGTACAGACATAAAAAAATCTGAAACAATATACATCTAATAATAGCTATCTCCAGGGAGTAAGCATGGTTCTTTCAGTTTCTATATTTTCTAAAATTATTTTCTATATATTAGTTGAAAAGTTTTCAATGATTATATATTATTTTTATAATTTAAAAAAATTTCCCCCCAATAAAGATCCCAGCATCCCTTGAATGGCAGCCAGACCGAAAGCAGGACCGTTGGAGTGAATGACTTCAATCCTAAACTCCTCCAAAGCCTCTCATTTTTAGCACAGTGGGAACCCCGTTTATAAATCTGCATGTTCCCATGCAGGGTCACTTTCTCTGCCTTGCCAGTCCATCACATCCCACCCACCTTTCTTCTGAGGCCAGGGAAAGCTGGCCACTTGGAGCTGACTCCATGGGCTGTGTCTGACAGGTACAAAGGGAAACCTCTGCCAACGAAAGATGCCACTAGCTATTAGTGTGGCCTTGACCTTCCCATCTGCCATGATGGCCTCCTATTACCTGCTGCTGCAGACCTACGTTCTCCGCCTAGAAGCCATCATGAACGGCATCTTGCTCGTGTTCTATGGCTCAGAGCTGCTGCTTGAGGTGCTCACCCTGGCCGCTTTCTCCAGGTACTGCTGCTAAGGGACCATTTCCCATCACCTGAGGGTTGGCTTCCCATCCCATCCTAGGGAGGGATTCGCTGTGCTTCTGGAGCCTGAGGGGTCTAGTGGACTTTTAAGGGGGAAACAGGTGTCTGTGGGACTGCCTTTCCCCTTTAGGGGAGGCAGTTACCCACTTAGGGAAGATACTCCCCTTGTTGTTTGGGACCAGGAGGCTTGGCATATAGAACTGTTCGGGCCAGCTGCACGTGTTCACTGGTCTTTTAACATTTTGTTTCTCTCTCTTATCAGTATGGACAGGATTTGAAGTACACAAATTTCAGCCAGCAGCCCTCAGCGGCTGAGACCACTCATACTTCTGGTACCTTAACCACGTGCGTGAGGAACAATGGGTTAAGTGGTGCTGGGGAGAGTTGCAGCTTTTCCTCAGCAGATATTTGGGCAGCAAACCGAGCATAAGGCCAGTGGGCACCGTCTTCTAAACAGGACCATCAGCCTGAGAGACTCTTCTACACTCCAGCATAGGGAGGGCCACGGCTGTCCTCCTCCTGGCCATTCTCAGAACCAGTTCCTTGCTGACCTCAACTTCTCCTCTGATCATTGTGGCCAGAGCACTTTGTGTGGACCATGTAAGCTCCTTGGGCTTCCAGCAGGACCTGAGCCACACTCCCTGCACCCTGTACGTGCTGCGCAACACCTGTCACACGAGCACAGAGAGCCTTAGGATGCTGTCCTCCAAGTGACGCAAAATCCTCTTACCCTTCAGAGACTGAGCTCCAGGACTTTACTAGCTCATAGTATTATTTTTCTATTCTCATCATGAAACATTATTTTATAATAAATACATATTTTCTGGTGTGGAGCCTTTTCCTTTTGGGACCTGTCCCTAGAAATTCAATCACTCTGAGAAGGTGGAGACTATCCCAGCGGCTTGTTCTCAGGCTGCGCTTAAGGATCCGGTGTGGACTGAAAAGACAGCGATGAAGCTGTGCCACTGATTTTCTTCCCCAGTTCCAGCCTGGATTTGTTCCTAAAGGCACCACCAGCTTCCTTATCTTCTTCAGGTCTGTCATCCTGCAAAAGATTGCTTTTAATCTTCACCTCTGCCCAAAGCCAGCATCTTGTCTCATTCCTCTTCCAGATAATTGTCAGCTCCTTTCCAGGGTGAGAAGTAATTGGAAGCAGCACACTCTAAACTTACCAATATTTTTTGGTCACTTATTNCTCATTCCTCTTCCAGATAATTGTCAGCTCCTTTCCAGGGTGAGAAGTAACTGGAAGCAGCACACTCTAAACTTACCAATATTTTTTGGTCACTTAAAGTTTCAGATTGACAAGAACACCTACTTTATTTTTTTAAGCTGGAGAAATGTTGCCCTAGATGAGTGTATCATTCCCTTCTCCAAGTAATCATCTTTAGAACTTTCTCATCTTGCTAGGTAGTGGTCTTTTTTTTTCCTAGCCCCAAGAAGCCAGGAGCCATGACAGAATCCACTACTTTAGGCAAACTTGAATCAAGGGCCCTTGTCAGATGAATCCTAGAATATCTACACTTACTCAAAGTAAAAAGTAATTAGCCTTTCAGCATTCCATGGTTTTTAACTGCACCTACTTCCTGTGAGCAGGCTCATTCTCATCGTATGGTCTCCACTGTCCAGTGCACTGATGCTTTTTCTTGTTTTCTATCCCTTCTGTGCCCTGGCGTCCTGTCTGCCTCTGGGGTCTATCCAACAACCACAGTGGACAGGTCTCAACCACGACACAATATCGAAAAATCCAATAGGAACATTCCTGATATTTTAATCACAAACCCCTCTAATACCCTAGTCCTTGTGTAGAGATTGGTCTGTCACATAGGAAAGGCATTTTATTTAGTAAGCACGGCAAACAGATGCAGGTTTGACCATGACCTCAACTTAAGCACACAGGTGTAAACTCTGAGGCACTCCCAACTATTTTTTCTCCCAAGTTTCAGATGTGCTAGCAAACTTCCCTTCTGCTAAAGGTTGTTTTTAGGTTGGTTTTGCCTTTACTGGTCCCAACACACATTATGTATCATCTTGGTCTCTGGCTTATCATATAACTCTCCTCTTGTTCATCTGGCTTTTTAAGAAGCCAGCAGCTTTCTGGAATCCCAAGATCACTTGTTTTCTAATCTGTACTTTTTCATAGTTCATTTTACGAAACATGTTCATTCACATTTATCTCTGGTTCCTAAAACATGCTGTGTGGAAGGCGGAACAGCTATCATTTCCATCTTACAGATCAAAGAGCCTGAGGTTCCACTGCTTGTCCATGGTCAGAGCAATAGATGGAAGCAGGCACTAGCAATCGTACCTTCTCACCCCTAGCAGAGGATTCTTTCCTTCCTAGAAATGACATCAGGACTGAGCTGTGCAAGGTAGGACATTTATTCTGGGAATAAATCTTAGGAATCTTGGTAAAGGATGACTTAGAATTTTTCTTTAACCAGACTGTTTAAGTGGCTAAGGAAAAAAAGCTAAACTTCAGGGGCACTTCCAAAGGTTTGCAGTAACTACATGCCCTATGTGCAATTCCAGCTAAGAGCTCAGGGTTTTACTACCATCCCGCAGCCTCTGCATCAGCCCATGCCCACACCCAACACCTCAACGAATCTATTCAATGCAGAATCCATAAGACAGCTCACACACCCCATTTATTATTTAAAAATACTTTGTTACAAAAGGAAAAAAATACAATGCAGTATAAAAGATTGACAGCGTCATCAAGTTTATTACACAATTTTCAACCTATCGGAAAGACAAACAAATCACCGACAACAGGGGGACGGGGCCTTGGCCTTTTTGAGGGTTGGGTTTTTTTCCTTTTGCTATCGGGAAATAAAACTAAAAATTGTGTCATTGAGTAAAAACAAAACAAAACAAAAAAATGGGGAGAAAAAATTCTCCGGGTAAACAGCTTTTCTGGTATTCTATATATTTTTTCCTTACACTGTCACCTTACTTGGTTTTCTCTACATTTTAAGAAGACACCTGGAGCTGCTCTCAAGGATAAGCACATCACTTAACACTTGGCCAGTTGGGCGGGGTGCCATGTTCTGAAGTGGAGGTGGGGATGGGATTTGGGACAGGGGAAAGAAGAGCTACAAACCTGTAGCCTCTGTCCCATGGGAATGTGCCTCTCCAAGCCCGGGGGACTCCCTCAGTGACTGAATGCGGGCTATGTCAGAAACGTGCAGGGAAGAAAGGAAGGGTTCAGTCCAACTCAGTCTCTCCCTGAGCCAGAAGGGTCTCCAATGACCCTACCTCTTACATGCTAAGTCTCATGCCACATGCCCTGTAGATGCAAAGAGCACCCACCACCCCACGGGTACTGCAGGACCCTGTTGCTGCTGCTTCCCTCAGCAACAAGAACATCACAATTTAGATGTTATGGGAAAAGCAATTCCATATGCCTGTGTGGATAATGGCCCCCCGAGTGGTGGTCCTTAGACCTCTGAGCTCATTCAAGTCAGGCTCCACTTCTTCCCTGCTCTTTATCAGAAGCAGGAAGTACCTCCAGGCAGACCAAGGGGAGCTACTAAATCAATAGTCAAAAGGTGAAAAGACACCAAACTTGTGACTTTTACCTGTCTACTAGTGCCAGGTTATCCCACAGTAAGTAAAACTAGTACCTGGGAGATGCAAGCCCATGCTTACACCAAACCTGAAAAAAGAAAAGCCTATGGAAGTAGGTTGTATCCTGCCCAACTTGCCTCCTTCCCCACTCCTGGTACTTCACAAGGGTTCTTCACTGCTGAGGTCCAATGTCCCCACCTTCCCAATGGCAGTACCTTCCTCTAAAACAAGGAAGCAGCCTTCTTGGGGAAGGGCTCCATGTGTGAAACGGCAAAGCCCTGGGGGAAAAAAGAACACCTAGTAGAGCTGGTTATTGCAAGAGGCAACCAAGCACGAAGCAGCAGAGGCTGGTAATTGGCTCTGCAGGGCTTCCAGCAGACAGCAACCTCATGCGCCTTCTCTGCTTAGGAGGGGCAAGTCCACTGAGGGGGCTGGGCAGCAGGGAGTTGGAAGGGTTCAGCCCTCTGGGGGGTCAGGGAAACAAACCGTCAGTATGTAAGAAAAGCAAGAGAAGCTTTTCATAAATTTCTGTTCTCATGGTCCCTCCTCAAAGGGCTAGGAAGGTAAAGGAGTTAAACAAAGAAGTGGTATGTTAGCAAGGGGTTTGGACCCTCTTGGCCCCATCAAACCTAGTGCTGAGGGCAGGACCCTGGGCATATTTTGGCACACCCAGTCCCTCTCCTAGTTCTCACATGAAGGACTCATTTTCTTTGAGAAGGAAGTCTTCCCATCAACCTCACCACTGAACTACTCCTGGAGAATCAGAAACTCATGTTTCCTTGAACAAAGCACCATTCTCTATGGAGACCAGGGGGCTGTACATGTTTTCTTCCTGTCTGTCTCCCCTCCCAACCACACAAAGTCTTTAGGTTCCTTCCCCTGGCAAACAGGAGGTGTGGGACGGGGAAGGCTGCCAGACAGTCTTCAATCCTGTAGGGCAGAGGGTATTCCCTGGGTGTCTGGAGGGAGTTAGGGGTTTGGAGGAAGGGGAAGGGGTAGAGCGGCCTCCGTCCTTTAGTCCTGATCAAGGTGAGGAGATGCAAGTCCATTAAAAAACATTCACTTCCCACCAGACTCCTGCAATGAGAACATCAGAAAAGAACACAAATTAGAGGTTACTTTCTGATTAACGGGCTTAAATGACTTAAACTGGCATTTTCCAAAGTCACAACATATGAAGTAGGAGCTGTAGACAGGGCAGGAGAATGCAAGCCTGGGAAAGTAAAAGCAAGCAAGCAGGATTGTCTGGGAGCGTCTGCACTGTGAGTAGTGCGGGACTGGTTGGAGGAGAAACTACAGAGTAGGGAGAAAAAAGCGGTGACATCTTACTTTATGGTTGGGGGTGGGGCATAGACAATGAAATGGGGTCTCAAAGCAGTTTGAAAGAGAGACTTGGGCTGGAAAAACATAGAAACTACATTTCAAGAAAAGGTGTTATAAGAGAACATGGTGAGCTTAAATTGTGTTTCAGTAAATCTATTCTGAGCAAGTCATAGCTTACCTTAAGAGGGGAAAAAAATCTGGCCCGGTAAGGCGTGGCTCAGTGGTTGAGCATTGACCTAGGATCCAGGAGATCGCGGGTCGATTCCCGGTCAGGGCACATGCCTGTGTTACGGGCTCGATCCCCAGTCAGGGGCGTGCAGGAGGCAGCCGATCAATGACGACTCTCTCACCATTGATGTTTCTATCTCTCTCTCTCCTTTCCTCTCTCTGAAATCAATAAAGATATATTAAAAAAAAAAAAAGGGAAAATGGGAGGTCCAATGTGACAAATCATATGTGTGCATAACCAAATCCATTAACCCCCAACACCCAAAGGGCCCTGGCAGGGAGCATGTACTTAAACAGGAAACTCCTAAACTTTTTCTTCTTTTAAAGATGCTCTGGTCCTAGCTGGTTTGGGTCAGTGGATAGAGCATCGGCCTGCAGAGACTGGGGCACTTGTGGGAAGCAACCAATCACTGTGTCTCTCTCTTTCTCTCTCTCTTCCCCTTCCACTCTCTGAAAAGCAATGGAAAAAAATATACTTGGGTAAGGATTTTAAAAAAAGCAGCTCTGGTAAACATACTTCAAACAGCATTCTATGAATATGTGTGTGCGCACACACAGAGCAGAGGTGTTCTAAATTGTACTAAAACTCAAGAAATTTTTAATTTTTTTCCCAGATAACAGCTGTGCGTAAGGGGACAAGAAGCACAGTAACACCAAACTGCAGTGATCTGGCAAGGCCAGAACATAAAGTAGAGCATGGAAGTAAAAGAAAAATAATCAGTAGTCACCATCCAAGAAGCATAGTTAAGAACTTCTGCCCAACAGAAAGGCACTGTTAAGCTATTTGTCATATCTCTACCTAACTTAAGGTCCCTAGTCCATTCAACCCTTGCTCTGATGTCACAATATTAATCTCAGGGGTGGTCTGGTCAGCCTGACCATATAAAATAGAACAGCTAAATGAAAAAAGGATTAAATTCAGGCTTAGGATTTCTAATAATGTCCAAGCTGGCAATATAGCCCCCACACAAGTGCTCACCCTTTATGTATGCACTTCTGTATACTGAAGGAGCTATACAGAAAAGAAAACAAACTCCCACAAGCTGCATGATCCCTTTACTCTGAAACAGAACTATCAGCTCAGCAGCCTCAGAACCAGTTATGGACCCTGCGCTCCGGCTTCTCTAAACACCTATGCAGGCAGGTTTGCCTCATCTCCTATAGGGAAAACTGAAGCCCTCAGTGCTTTCTCAATTTTGCACCATTTGGGCTTCTGAATCTTTGCACTGGATCAAAACTGAGCAGAAAGCTGTTTTCACTGGACCAGGAGGATAGGAATGAGGTGAAAATGACTATATTTCAAGAGAAGGTCCTAAAATAATGAGACAATCGCCGAGAACTACAAAAAATAAAAACCACTGACGACTGAAGAATATCCTCAAACCCCAAAGCATATACACATTAGCCTGAAAGAGATGCACTTTGGGAACTGTCCCTACAAAACAAAATACAGTGGATAACTAGTGCATCAAGAGAAATAAACTATAGCACCCAATTCTCAAAAGAGTATGGCTACATTTTGGTAATAATGTTTGAATGCAGACAGAAGCCAGAGAGTACGGCAGTGGGCCAATCAGACTTCAAGCCCCAGAAGTGATGCCTATCCTGTGGAAGGATTGCTGATCTATTGCTGATGCGTGATGGAACACACTTTTTGCTCTCAGGGAACAGCTGTTCATACACTACAAATACTATTATTTTCTAAGTAAAAAATATGTACATAGAGCTTGTAAAGTCCCTGAGATAAATGAGGCCCATGCTGCATCTCCCCGACATGAAATCTCCTAAGTCATAATTTGGTAACTGCAGATGGAATGAAGTCATTAGGGTAAGAATGTGACATTTTTAGGGTGTCGGATTCAGTCCTCTTGGACTACATTATTATTTGGATGGAATAACCAACGTAAGAGAAATTGGGGAATTGGAACCCTGCCTGAGTTCACTTTCCTCATCTTCTCTGTGGCCTGTGCCACAGCCAAATGACCATTTTCAGGGAACTAGTGGGTTACAGAATTTTTCAGTTATCCAAACTGAATCATCATCATAATGGGGAAAACAGTCCCATTTTACAGGTGGAAGAAATGAAGCAAAATGACAGCTAAAGTCTCAGGTTCAGATGTTCAATCCCCAAAGTACTAATGAGCAGAGGATCTCACCATTTTTCTGTCTAAAGGCTGTTAGAAGTGAAGCCATGAAGAATAGTGACATGTGGTTACATTTCTAACTACTGAAGTGAACATAGTCACAGAGACTGTAATTTGTGCTCTGCATGAACAAGTCCTTCCCTGGTCACCCTTATCCTAGTTAGCTCCAAAGGACACACTATGGGCTACAGGATTGGGCCAGAGCAGAGATACGGGACCCATAAGCAACACTAGCTACTGTGCTAACTCCAACAAGAGAAGGGAAATGTACTACTGCTACAAGAGCGATGAGACTGGATCAAAGACCTACTCTTGCACACAGCCTTCCACCCACTCCCTGAGCCTGAATTAGGGCAAAACTGTTTGTGGGCTCCACCTCTCATAGAATTGGCACCTCCCAAAACTAAACCTGTTGCAAAATCTAGAAAAAAGTATCTAGAACCCACCACCTAACTCATAATTTTATGTGGGGTATCCTAGATTTCGGTGATGTCAAGCACTCTATGATTCTGTGGAATGAATGAGTGGTTTAAGAACAGAGAAGGCAGGCAGGTAAAAGATGTTAGTAACTTTTCATTTACCCCTTTATCTGTCACCTACACAAGATGACAAAATTCCCAGCTATAAAACTCTGCTTAAGTTAATGGCAGATAACGTCAAACAACATAGTAGAGGGCAGTAGCCAAACATATCAAGACTTGTTTGTTAGTAGGTTGTCACTAAGCAAAATACAACAGACTTTTCCAACTGTTTACAGTCCAGTTATTGCTTGTGAACTTCAGGGACTCACAGGTGATGATGGTGAGGGGCATTTCCTTTCCCTTCTTCATCCAGTCATCCATCTATCCACCCAAAGATACCAAACAGAACTATTCCTCCTCCTCACCCTCTCATTCACAAAATGAGAAACTGTGGAACAGAAAGTAATATGGCTGGAGGAGTAGAATTCACACTCGGGTACTGCCCGCAGACACTGTGTGCTCAGCCATTTTGCCTGCTCTCTCAGATACCAGGGCAAGGCAGCCAAGAAACAAAAATAGCTTAATCTCAGGTCCATCTCAGGGTGAGACGCCTGACAAGCAGGAAATCTGCCCTCTGAATTTTCAGTTACCTAAATCATACGTCCCCCATTCCCTTTATTTGCTCTAAAAAGAGAGCGCCCTGGCCGGGTAGCTCAGTTAGTTAGAGCATAGTCCCCATACACCAAGGCTGCATTGTGGTTTGACCCCGGGTCAGGTCGCATACAAGAAACCACCAATGAATGCATAAATAAGAGGAAAGACAAATCGATATTTCTCTCTTCCTCCCTTCCTCTCTCTCAAATCAATTAATAAAAAATATATATAAAATATAAGGAGAGAGAGAAAAGTCTTCAGTTAGTAATTTTTCTTTCATAAAAGATCCTCCACCAGCCAGGAATGGGGCTTCATCCCACCTTTCTCAGTGGTGCCGGTCCCGTTCTCTATCCCGATGTCTCTCGTGTTCTCGGTTCCTTTCTTGGAAATAATCATCATGCCGATCTTCATTGTGAAGCAGGTCCCGGTGCCTCCTGCTGCTCTCCCGGGACCGGCTAGGCGACCTCTCTCGGGACCGATGTCTTTTCCTATTAGAAAGATCCTTCAGCCTCGCTCAGAAGGCCTACCACATTCCTTCCAAAAGTGTTGTGTTTGGTGTCTTCTAGTATTTACCTAAACCAGTCTTCCACTACTCTATCACGAACCTGCTGCCTGACGGAGATAGCTCTTTAAGGACTAGTCTTTTTTTGCGAAAACAGTTAAATCTGTTGAGATCTTACTAATGTATCAAGTGCAGTGCTAAGAGCTTTATGTGCATTATCTCACCCAATCTTTACAACAGGCCTATAAAATCTGTAAAATTAGTACTACTATTGTTCCCTTTTTAAAAATAAGGCTTGGAAAGTTGAGTAATTCCATTCTCAAGGTCACACGGGTTGTTAGGAACAGAACTAGGATTCAAACCCAAGCACATATGGCTCCAAAGCCCATGTTCTTAGCTATTCCAGTCTTTTTTTTTACTAAATAAGACCACTGCCTCACCTAACACAGATTCCAGACATTATAACATTTATTACTGTAAATGCTAGGTTAATTTCTTCCCCTTGAAGGCACGAGGATTAGGTCTGCTCTTTCAGCCAGGTCCCTGCCAGATACCCTGGGCTCCTTTCCTCCCCCTGCTAATCCCTGGAAGAGTGCTGCTCAGGGCTGGCAGGCCACTGAAGCAATCACCAACTCACCTGGACGAGCTCCCGCTGGCACCCACACTGTAGGACTTGGCTTCAATGCCATGAAGACAGTCCTTAAGAGAAGAGATGAGGACACGGCAACGCTCATCATTGGCGACCCGGGACTGTTTGATAACAGCAATGGCTGTGAGCAGCGTCTCAATCGCGTCACTGTAATCCCCTGAAGGGATGGATGGGAAAGGCCAAGGATGAGCAGAGGCAATAAACTAACTGGACCAGAAGGAGAACTCAGGAGGACACAAACCAAGAGTAACTAGCCGTCCCACAGAACACAGTAAAATAGATGAGGCAGAAGTGGGAGGTATAACACTGGGCAGCACCTGCATTCCAATGGTCTGGAATCACACATGTTCTCAGATCTGTCAGTGGATGTATAAACTAGTGCATCATTGTCTGAGGGTTATTTTGACAACAATCATTGAAATAAACAATGTGCATACCTTTGACCCAAGAATTCTAAAAATTTTCTACTTCTATCCACAACTATGTATAGGTTTAACCATGTTTGTATCAGCATTGTTTGTTGTATTAGAGAATTACAAACAATAGGCTATATAATTATAGATCATTGGTTGTACAGACTACTACATGGTTGTTAAAAACAAAGAAATCAATGTAAAGTGCTTAGCAGTGTCACACACATAGTAAGGGTTCAATAAAGTTAGGTACTGTTACACATGATATAATACATGTCCAGAATATATTGTAACTTGAAAGTTACAAAACAGTACTTCATTTTTATAAAAACAGTAAAATTACATACGTTGTTATATGTACAAAAAACATCTGGAGGATAAGCACAAACTGTAAAAGGCAGACTTGTAGGTGGGTCTTGTGTAGAGGACTTTATTAATACTGCATATTTTTGTCAAGATTCTCTCAAATCTATAGTCAGATGTGTGCAGACATATGTAATGTATATCTAAAACATGTATATAGCATATACACATGTATACACACACACATGTATATTCAAAATGATTTATTTAAATTATGCTGTCATCAAGAATTAGCTCCTTCATTTCCCGAATCTGTGCAATGCCTGGCAGGAACAGAGGTAACAGGGTGGGTACTTGCACAAAGCCTTTCCCAGCTATGTCAGGAGCAGTAAGGACAAAAGATAATGCAAGGAAAGCATGAGAGCAGACAGGGTCCAGTGAGAATAGGACTGGGAGCGTCCTCTGCACAGGCAACGAGGATAAAACAGAAACCGTGGAGGGGTCCAGGAACACCAGGATGTCAGCTCTACCAGGGAAGGAAAGTTTTGCCTGTTTTATAGGCGTCCCACAAATATTTGTGGCTTAAATGACTAGAATGAGAACAACAAAGAGAGCTAGAGATTCGGTTTCTGAGCATCGTGGTGGGAAGGACATGGTGGAGTATAAGGATTATTTTCATTACAGTCCTCTGTACATTTGGCTTGTCACAATGAGCATAGATTACTTTTTAATTTAAAAAGGTTTATTAAGATGCCAATGAAGATTTTCTGGAGGGAAAAAAAATAAGAGAGTATGTATACTTCCTGTCTTTCACCTACTCTGTGGATTCAAATTTTGCAGCCAAAGCTGAGAAATCATGGAAAACAGATGATAATATTTAGGGTTAACTTGAGATCGAACAGTCTACATTTACATCCACGTGGCAAACACACAGGAAGTAAGTGAATATGACTAATGTCATAAGTGAAACTTGGACCAGAACCCTGCAACTTCCTGTATTTCTTCTTTCAGAAACCAAAGATTCTCAAGTCTTGGCTTCTGGTTATGACCACTTAATACTGACAGCAGGGCAAAAGTTAGCTATAAAAGCATATTATGCCCAGGCTGGTGTGGCTCAGCTGGTTGGGCGTCAGCCCTGTGCACTGAAAGGTAACCGGTTCAATTCCTGGTCAGGGCACATGCCCAGGTTGTGGGTTCGATCCCTAGTTGGGGTGCATACAAGAGGCAACTGATGGGTATTTCTCTCTCTCTCTCCCTCCTTTCCTCTCTCTCTAAAATCAATAAAAACATGGAGAAAAAAAACATATTATGCTTTATGATGCTTTTTAAAAATATATGTTTTTATTGATTTTTAGAGAGAGAGGAAGGGGAGATGGAAGGAGAGATAGAAACAATGATGAGAGATCCCAAAAGCCAAGCAATTAGGTTACATATTGCTTTTCAACCTGTGCCACTCCTGAGAATCTAACAATGCTCCGACTTTATCTTGTTAAATTTCTTGCTGATGGAAATGACAAAACATGGAAAAAGGGAAAAACAACGGAAAGACTAAAGGCAAGGAGAAGGCAGCAAAGGTAAGGGTTAGTTACCTGCACTGGCTCCAGATACTGCTTTGGAAATGGCACTGCTGGAAATTGCTCTGTTTCGCTTCATGATCTCTTCAAATTCTGCTTCACTCACTGTAGAGGGCGGAGGGCCCGAATCTCGGCTGCACAGAAATAATACCCGTCCTGAGTGCCACACCCCTTACTATCTTTACTACCCTCTCTAATATCATGTTATTTAATCGTGCTCTCCTGTGTAATTTCCTACATGGTTCTCTTTCTGTTCACATGTTTTGTGTGTTCACGTTCTCGTCAACAGGATTTATGTCATATACTTCTGTAATTTTGGCATAACCCAACAGCAGTGCCAGACACTCACAGCCTCCCTAACAGCCACTTACACCACTCATTTCAATTAAGCCCCTTAAAGAGATATATGAATGACACGCTTTGGGTCAAGAGTTTAAGATACAAACAAAACATTGAATAAGAACATTATCTGATGGTGAGTACCCAACACTATGACCAGAGTTTCCACCAGGGAAACATAGAGTCAGTGCTCACTCTGTCCTCAGGAAGAACAAATGCTTCACTGTCTACCCGACCTGACCTGGCACAGACTTACAGGAAGACAGCTCTTACCTGCCATGGTGGTTATAGGGTGCCGAGGCCTTCATATATGTATCTGGTGGAGGCCCCACTGTGGCATTTGGCGGGGGGAAGAAGGCTGGATTGAGGTGAAGGGCAGGCGGGATGGCCCCAGGGGGAGGTACAGCCAGATGAGGAGGTAATCGAGGAGGAGGGGGCATGAGATGCTGGTAGTGGATGCCAGGAGGAGGAGGAGGGACCCCAAAGCTTGAGGAGAGAGGTGGTGGGGGTGGAATTGGAGGTGGGGGCAGACCCATCAGGGGAAGGGCTGATGGAGGGCGGTTGAAGTAGGGCAGCACACTGGGGGGCTTATCCACACGGGTAGATGAGGGTACAAGATTCTCAGAGGGTGTGGCCCGTCCATCAGCAGAATCACTAGAATCTCTGGAGTGAGCCCGTGGAGGTATTCCTATGAAGCAAAAAGAACCACTGTTACTGCCCAGGCTTTAGGCGCACCCACAGGACCAGTTCATCCTTCAGCAAGTCATCTGACACCACACTGAGGAAGGTAACAGGTGGCTGAAAAAGAAGGTAAAATCATCTACTGCCTTTTCTTTGGCCTCAGAGAAAAAGGTCAGCAGCAACTTAGTTAACACATAAACCCAGAAAGCAATATCACCTTAAATTCTGTATGTCAAAGAATGTTCTTTACCTAGAATTCTCAGTGCTTCACGTTATTTATCCTTAGATTTGTTTTATATTTTTAAGTGAAAAAGGATCGTAATAGCCCATGAGAAAATGACAGTGTTGAAGTATGTTCATTACTGATCAGCTGGACTCAATCTGATTTGAAATTCCATGACCCCTGATAAGAATTCAGGGCCTCTCTCCTTAGACTAGTACTAGTCAACCTTCCCTATCTGGCTGTTCACCTGGAATTTTCTCCTTGCCAAGGCACTTTGACTAGGGAATCTGAGGAAAGAGAGGGAAGGGCAAGGGATGGATGACACTTCATCCATATGCCAAAACTGATAACTGGGATGAAAAAGAGACACACAACAAAGAGTAGAAGACTGGAGATTGAGAGGTAAAGAGAAAATGGGAGATAAGCCAAGAAAAGACCTGCCCACAGAATGAGCAGATGGCACACAGCTGACAGCAGGGACTCCCAGCAAAAGCCTGGTACAAAACATGCCTCAAATCCGGGAACTCCCACTACATTTCAATGGCCTAAATGTTCTACCCCACAGGGTGGCATACCATGAACACCATCACAGCACACTGGTCTGGTTATGCACAACAGGGTGCAGAACATGTTTGTACACAGCTGGAAACATGGCTCTGTACTGTGAAGTCACCTGGTTAAATTTGTTCCCTCTCCCCAACTTAAGACTACTTTAGACCTGGTTAACATGGAATCCAACAGAAGAACACAATCACATGGCCTTGGGAGCCTTGGAGGTAGAAAGATGCCGTTAGCAGACAAATGTGGAAAAAAGGGTGCTCCTTAAACTAAAACTTGTTAGTAAACCCCAACTTCTGGTTAAAGCATAAGGTGGAATTAATCACCCTGGAAACCACCATGGTTTCTATACTGTAGTATACCACCAGTGCCTATCATAGCACTCTCTTGCTTTTCACGTCTCAAACACATGACAACTTATTTCCCAAGTTCTCTCAAACCAAAGGAAGAGGAGGTATTAGCGAGTGTGATCTCTGAAAGTTAGATACCTTCGCTTCTACTGTCCCTCATCTGCAAGGTTCTGTTTTGTATCTATGGCTACAAATCCCAAGAGTAACAACCATTTTTAAGCAAAGGAAGTCTACCAACTGTACTCAGTGAATTAACAGAAGCCAAGTGCATCAACATGACATAGCAGAAAAACACCACTCAGTCACCACCACCATTTCAGCAAAGAGAGGTAACACCAAGGAATAAACAGCCAAGTGAACGCAGGAACGTAAGTTACCCCTGAGGCAGCTGTAGAATTACGTATCTTAGACAAGTCTGAAGAGGGCTGATTTACAGGAAGACTCTACAACAGAAGGGACTTGAAAATTCAAGTTGTCAATGAAGAAGAATGTGTGCCTTCTAACCCAGAGTAATGGGAGCTCACACCACATCCATCTAGGGTCTCAATCTAGTTAAAAGAACAGCTATTCCTAGGCAAGAGACAAGTGGCTATATTTCCACCTTCAATCAATCAATACAAAATCCCAGTGGACCACCCTATTAATACAAGGCACTATTTTGAGAAGACTTTTGCCACCAACCCCAAAAGCCACCCACTGTAGTCAAAGAAAAATAAAGGCAGTTGGCTGTTTCAGGCAGGGCCTTGCAGGGTGGCTGCACCTTGTGAGGTCAGGCCAATCCAAGGTCTGGTCCTAAGGTTTCACAGGTTCAGAAACTCAATTTTAACAGTTCACCTTGGGGTGATTAAACCCTAAGAGAATGATTCGCATTAACCAAACTCAGAAGAGACTGATTCATAAACCAGAATGCCAATTTATTAATTTGCAATGCGAAAGAGAACTGCCAAGCAGACCAGAACATTTGTGTCAGCTGGTCAGTGTAGTCTCTTCCCAGTAGGAGAGCCTAGCTGGGAAACCAAATCAGTATCAGAAGGTGGCTTGACGAGTACACAGCCAGAATAAAGGGATTAAGGGAAACTAACGCCGAGCTAAGGTAGCATGACACAACTGTCTTTACTAATAAGAAATATTTTCTAAGCAGACTAAAGTATCTGGTAACTGAAAGGGCACCGCTGCACAATGCTAGAGCAACACTGTTAAATTCATTCTCCAGCACTTCACAGAGCACCCTTCCAATCTCGGTTTATGACAATATTACAGCCATATTTTTATTTTAGGGTGGCTCCTTGATAATTTATAGAAAGGCATGTTTTACAATTAAGTCCAATCACACTCTATAGATTTTTTAGACAGAAACACACAATTTCGAGTTGACAAGAACTTTAAACATCATGTATCTAGTTCAGATGGGGATATAAGCGCACGCAGTAAAGTGATTTGCCCAAGGTCACGTGACTTAGTGGCAGAACCAAACTATAACCTGAACCTACCTGACTCCCAGCAGTGTTCTTTCTCGTACACAAGCCTCACTTTTGGGCCGACCTATTGACCATGCCACCACCCACAACCACTACCACCCTCCCCCAAATTCCTCTACGCTGTAGGCTGAGCCTACACCACAGAAAACAAATCCACAGCCTACACCACAGAAAACAAATTCCCCATTCGTACAGATGGTCTCCACGTACCCCCTCTTGGGACTCGGACGCACTCACGTTTCCGAGCCTGTGCCTCAAATTGTGACAGGTTCTGCCTGGTGGCTGGCCTCACGTCTACTTTTTCTCCATTAAGAACTTTTCCTGGCAGGAGTTCCAACAATTTGTGGACAGAGTTTTCAGAGGCTACCACCACCTCAGCATACCTTGAGGAAGAAAAATTAAAAAATGAGTGAGATTACCAGACAACAGAGAGGAACAAGGAAATTCTCTTCCACTTTTAGTGAAAATTGGTAAAGCAAAAAGATATCCTCTATTACTGAACACACACACAACCGCCACCAACAAAAAGGTGTCAGTCTATAATCTTCCTACTTCTTCAAAATTAGAAATCAGCTTTCTTTGCCCCTCAAAGGGTAGATGTTCTACTACACTGCAGCCAGGACTCCATTCTAAGGCAGTTTGCCAAAACCAAGGCAGTAAACTGGGCTGGGCCAGAGGGATTAAAATCCAGGGCCAAAATATAGTGCAGACCTATTTCCCAATGGTTACAAACTAAAGGGGCTTCTCAAATCCAGACCTCACCCTTTGGACTGGCCATTTGCTCGGTTCTCTGCAAATTTCAACTCCACCACATCATAGACGCCTACAGAGCGAATAACCTGGATCAGCTGCTGGTCCGTGGTCCACTGGGGCCGGCAAAATGGAAAAGGAAGAAATGTCAGGAGCTACACTGCCCCCGCCCCCAATCCAGAGCATCCCAAATCCTTCCCCCAACCTAGGATTCTGTTCACAGCAATGGCCTCCCACAGGAAACCCGAAAGCCCATCAGTGTCTCAGTCAGTGCAGGCTTTTCTTTCTGCCCTCACCCATAGAGAATTCCAAACCACCTCCCTCCACAATCCCCATCTTCAGAGACTAAGATTAAAACCTAGTTTAATTTTGACTGTCATTTGGGCTGGCTGGACATCAGTTCAAACACTGATTACTAGCAGCTTTGAATTACAGATCTGATATGCTAGAACTGACCATTGTCAGGAACTTTCCCCTCAGTATATACATTTTCTAATTTGGAAAAATAATGCCCCCCTCCACCAGCCCAAAAACAAGTCACACAATAACTTGCAGAACAACAATCACCACCTACCCCGAGTGTACTAGAGCTATCAAGGTCTTTGATCCCTGTCACCCATCATTATCACAGGACCATCTAATGACCACCAAGAGTTCAAGGTATTCACTCTGAAATCTCATCCCACAGATGACCCTGCTAGACATAAAGCCCCAGGGTCAGGGGTGGTAACAAGATGACAGGAAAAGCAACTACCCACTTAATCATTGCTTTCTTCGGCACCAGAACGTCCTCAGGATAGTTCTCTTTCAGAGATCAATCCAACCTGATCCCAGGAAAAAGAAATCCAACCCCATCAGAGCACAAAACAGTGCAACATTGGTTTTTGAAAATGCCATCACCTCCCAGTGCTCTCCCTCCAGCCCACCCATAAGCCTTTTCGGTACCCACGCTCACCCAGGAGAAGCTGCCCACATAAACAGCAGCTCGCCTATTACGCAGGCCACTGTAGGTGTACAGAATTGCAGGGGTCTTGTTATTAGGCTTGGGAGACGGCTCCTGGCGAACAGGAGGAGGTGGCTCAGTGCTGCTGCTTCTGTCATCTGAGGGCTGTGAAGTGGCTGTCAACACGTCATCATACAGGTCAATCTGATCTGTATTGTTGAACTCTGGGTCCTAAGAGATGGGGGTCAGCAAAGGTGGGTTTGCAAACCTTTCACTTTTTCATTCTATTTCACTCTAGTTTACTTATAAATACTTTATAAAACACACAAAACTTCCTTGTTCCACTCTAGGGAACTAGGTCAGGAAAACTTCCTCATTTAGAACTATTCCACTTAATTATGCTCGTGCATATTTTTCTCCCAAGACCCTGTAAGTGTCCGCAATGTTTCTAGCTCCAGTCACCTGAGAGAATTAAAAGGCACGTGACTAAAGAATGCAAAGATGCATTTACTACTGTTATAAATGAGGTTAGCTTCTAAAGACTACATCTAAGATGCACTAATGAAAATTTAATTTCAGTATATTATGCATTTTCAAAATCAAGAGTTACGCCTGGCCAGCATGATTCAGCAGTTGAGTATCAACCTATAATCCAGAAGATCGTGGTTTGATTCCCAGTCAGGGCACATGCCCGGATTGTGGGTTCAATCACCAGTAGGGGGCATGCAGGAGGTGGACAATCAATGACTCTCATCATTGATGTTTCTCTCTCTCCGCCTTCCTCTCTCTGAAATCAATACATATTTTAAAAAAAGAGTTACATAAAACTTACTATTCTATTTAATAAGAAACAGAAAGCAGGGAAAAGGCATGTTAAAATGAGAACCAAAATGCAAAAAAGAATGGGAGTTACTGGTTTAAATTATTTGATTTACACAGGTGATTTAGGGAAGCTCTAAAACTCATAGTATACAATCCCATATTTCTAATAATCATCAAAGAAACATTAAAAGAATAAAATAAAAAGAAGGTGGTAACTCTGGGGGATTTTCCCTCATTAAGTTCTATTTCTCAAATGACATGCAGATCCAATATAGTACCATGACACCTATGTAAGAAACATCTTTGAACAATATCAGATACACACAAATAGTGAAAGGTTCTCTAAAACATAAGGGTCAGAAAACAAGAGATGAACCCATATCATAAACTATGTCACAGTGAGCATTTACAACGTAAATGTCTATTCTGGAAGATTCTTTTTGCCTATGTGATATATTACTGTATGGACTGACTGTGTGCCCCGCCAGCACACATATGTTGAAACCCTACTTCCCAGTGTGATGGTATTAAGAGGGGGGGCCTTTAGGAGGTAATTAGGATTAGATGAGGTCTTATGGGTGAAGCCCTCATAAATGAGATTAGTGCCATTTTAAAAGTCAAGTGAGAGATTGCTTGCTCTGCATAATGTGAGAATATGAGAAACCGGTGGTCTACAACCCAGGAGAAGACCCTTACTAGAACCCAAAAATGATTTTGGCCTTCTAGCCTCCAGAACTATGAAAAATAAATGTCTGTTGTCCACCACCCTGTTTTTAGTATTTTGTTATAGAAGCCCAAGCTGACTAACACTATATACCAAAAATCCCAAAACCGTAAGAACTACTATCAAGGGATCTTAATGTTTCAGATTTTGCAATGTCATTATCTCAGATCTTATTTTAAAGGATCAGACAAGTATTTTTTTCAGCTAACACTCTAATATTTAAACTGTGCTAAAGATTAAGCTGCCAAAATGACAAAGATAGGGAGAAGTTCAAAGTGTTTTATGGAAACCACAGCTCATTCATGTCACTGCTGTCTTTTAAAAAAATGGAATAAAGGAAAAACCTACATTAGGTAACTTGTCTAGTTCTCTGAAGAGTCATTTCCTCGTCTAAACTCAGGACAGGAAGCTCCCTTCAATACCAACACAAGAACTGTTGATTCTGAAGTAAGGCTAGAGAGGAGAGATTTACTACCAGATTCATTCTTAGACCTATATACCACCACAAACTTTTGGAAACAATCTTTTAGTTTCTCAGCTTATCTGAAGTACAATGAAAGAGCATGCACACTAAGATAGTATTATTGGATTGTTCTGCTAGTGAAGGGGAAAGGATTCTACTTCTTGAGGCATGTAAATAATTTCAAAGATCACAAATACTCTAAGAAACCCCATAAGGGAGGAGTTTAAACCTTGTAAAAATGTCAGAAAGAGCCCAGCTGGCGTGCCTCAGAGATTGAGCACTGACCTAGGATCCAGATTGAGGTTTGATTCCCAGTAAGAGCACACGCCTGGGTTGTGGGTTCAATCCCCAGTAGGGGGCGCGCAGGAGGCAGCCCATCAATGACTCTCTCATCACTGATGTTTCTCTCTCTCTCCCTCTCCTTTCCTCTCTCTGAAATCAATTAAAACACACACACACACACACACACACACACACACACACACACACAAAAACCATTTTAAAATATCAAAAAGAGAATGGCAAGAGAAACTTTTTAGGGGCAGCTTCAAAACAAAACAAGGAATCAGTAAGGCAAACAAGCACTAGAAGGCTGTTGTGGGTAGGCAAACCTATAACTAAGGATCTTGCATAAAAACAGGTGTGTAAAAAATAGGGAGAAGCTAACATTGCAGAGTGCAGGGTGGATAATAAATTGAATAAAGCATAGACAAAGGTAGGGCCAACTTGACAAATATTTTGTGTGTAAGATAATTCATAGCCCTTTCGTTTTGAACGATCCCACTCTAGCTAAATCACTGACTGACTTATTCCTATCCAGCTACGGTACTCTATCGTGGTGCAGGGAGAGAAAGCACTTGATCCTCTCCAATGACCTAGCCCTTGGAGAGCACCACTTCGCACTAAGTTCCTTTCTTTTAATCAAGGATTTTGAAATGGAACTTAAACACACGATCTTGGATAGTCAGTGGAATCCAATTGGGATTCTTTCCATGCAGTACCTGTGATTCAGAGATGTGTATCTGAAAGTTGTAATACAAAAACTACCACTAATAACTGGGTAGCAAACTAGCAGATTTGGATAGCTCAGAGGAGAAACGTATCACCAGGAAGTGCCCTGTATTATAAGCCTAGGCAAACCACCTACTCTTCCAGGGTACCTAGAAAATGATAGACTCAATCCTGGAAAAACCTATTGTACGGATTACCTTACTGCTTTAAGAAACACAAAAGAATTCAACAAGTGCAAAATTGTCACAAGATTCAAATGGTGTCTCTGGGCCACAGAGCCTCAGTTCAAAGAAGTTGATGGAACTGTTCCGATGCACAGGGCAGGTCTGTTGAGGATTGTGTTGAGGTAAAATTTTATTGAAGAAACAAGGTATCAATTTATGTTTGGATTTAAATCTGTTAGAAATACCAATTCATTTACTTCTTTGGTTAGTAAAACAAAAAACAGATAACAATCTGAAGTTTTTCTGATTACCAAACACACGGACGATTTATGTACTGATGGATTAGGTTAAGGCAAAATCTAATTTTACAAATTAAGTGAACAAAATTTTTACTTAAGCAAAGAAAAATAAAAAAAAAGTTTGCTTAAAAATAAGTATATATTTAATACTGAGTAACTATCTCATGAAGAATTTTGTGTTTAACAGCATAGGGAGAACTGTGACTGTCTCATGAAGCTTCTTGGTCAACACGAGAACTAGCGGAATTTTGAGTTTAAACAACCAACCCCCTTTCCCTGATATCTGGGGGAAGTAATAAAGCCTAGAATTTATTTTTCTCAAAGCAACCTACTTGATAACACTGTTTCTTTTCATTGTAGCCAAAGCTAAAAAATTTAGGGTTTATGACCATTTCCACAATTCTGACCTCACGGTCTCCCCTTCTGTCATAGTCCATTGCCCTCAACCACCAGGAACAC